GCCAAGGAAGATAACAGTAGGTTGGCAGAATTGCAGCTTGAGACGTGAAGCTTTACATCCTTGTTCTGCTAGGTAGCAAAGAATATTAAGTGAGCATTGTTCTGTTGTGGGTATATCATCTCCACAAAGCAGCAAATCATCCACATATTGAAACAGGACGACCTCAGGGTGGTCAGATTGCCATGGATCAAGGATAGAGCACATGGCCTTCGCAAATTGACTTGGTGAATTTTGTGCCCCTTGGGGCATGACAGTCCATGTGTACTGTTGTTTTTCATGTGTGAAAGCAAACAGATATTGGCAAGCTGGATCCAGGGGAACACTGAAGAAGGCATTGGCCAGATCAATGACTGTGAAGTACTTGGCAGAGGGTGGAACGCCGGAAAGGAGAGTGTGTGGGTTGGGCACTATTGGAGTGTCCAAAACTGTGGCTTCATTTACTGCTCTGAGGTCTTGGACCAATCTGTACTTTTCTGGTTCACCTTTTGGAGTCTTTTTCTTTACAGGAAATAATGGAGTATTGCATGGTGAGTCACATTTGACAAGAGCACCCTTCTCCAGGAGTGCTTGAATTTGAATTGTAATGGCTGCAGCTTGAGCTGGTTTCAAAGGATACTGTGATTTTCGTGGCAATTTTACGCCTGGGATGAGCTTTACCACCACAGGCGGGACCTTTAGATGGCCTATGTCCTCTGGGCCTGTGGACCACAGCTTGTTGGGAACATCAGTCTTTAGTGAATCAGGGAAATTAGTCCTTAGGTCTTTTGCATCCCCATGAGGCTCTTCTAGATGTAGCATCAGGGGTAAGGAGCACAAAGCTGAGGTGTCTGAGACAGATAGAGGGGTGGATAGTTCCACTTGTCCATCTGGAGTAAAGGTGATGGATGCCTGCAGGCGTGAAAGAACATCAGCTCCTAACAGGTTAATGGGGCATGTGGAAGATACCACAAAGCGAGCAAGCAAGTTGTGGCAGTTACCAACCCGCAGTGGGGTGGACAGGGGACTTTGCCTTGGAAGGCCGTCCACCCCAACACAGGAGACATCAATATTGGAAAGAAATGAGGTATCGGGCAGGTCTTGTTCTCTCAGAACACTTCAGGCTGCACCTGTGTCAACTAGGAAAGTGGTGGGCTGGCCCTCAATGGGTAAAATTACAGTAGCTAGAGGCCCCCCTTGTTCCCCTGAAGACACTGCCATGGCAGGGGCATTAAGCATCAGCGGGTTTGCTCTCCTCAATATGGGCTGTGTTACTGACTCAAACCCCTTTTGTATGTCATTAGCCATAGCTTTTTGCAGTCTGAACATGTCTATCATTATAAATAATGGTTAATAGTAAGTTAAGTAAAGTTCCTATATGTCTTTGGATAAAACATTAACTATTGCGGTACTATCATTTATATCAATTAGACTATAACAATTATACCACCCTGTAACTAAAATGAATAACCAGTAGTGGCTGGGTTAATAAACATGTCACAAACCCTTCTAATGCTAAACCATCATTTAAAGTAAAGGATGTTACTGTAAACATAAGATCTGTAACTAGCAAGATTCGATTAAGTAAAGATATAATGTTTAAAATAACTTGCATTATTTGGCTATTTCCCTTGTTGCAAGATTAATCTGGATAATCAGCTGTTATGCTCTTATATTCGTGTCCAACAGATTTCATATGTAGGTCACACCACATTTGCAAATTACATTTTAGCAACCTTCTTTTTTTTTTTTATATCACGGACAAATTTCTGATACAGGGAAACAAATGGCATGATTGTTTTAGTAATTATAATGTTTCAGTTCATAATATGTAGAGTGTAAGGAAAACAACATGTCTCTAAATGGGACGAGCATAATAGGGGTAGGCCTCATGATGGAGGCAGCCATGACAGGGGCGGGGAAGGAAATGACAGCAAGGGAGGAAGTGAGAGGGGTGACGTCCATGATATGTGTGGGAAAGGAAGACAGGAGGTGTGGGCATGGTAAGGGCGGAAGTGACGTCACTTTCAACAATACACTATATTATAACTATTAAAATAAGTCAGAGAAGCAACATTCCGTTCTGCAAAATGAAATACTAAACTATGAACAGACCTGGCAGGTTAAATAAGACAGTTGAGAACATTATGCATTTAACAGCCCATACAGCTGTTTCTAGAAACATGTACTTTAAAATAACTTTAAAATAATAAAATGATGCAAAATAAACTCGCGGAATTCAACCAAATTCCCTTATCTTCCTCAAACCATTAATCACTTTCCTCCTCTTATACTGACTTAACAACATCGCATATTCCCTCTACACCTTCCTAAATCCCGTATTCAACACTGAATGCAATCTTGTGAGCTCGTCACTCCCACAATCCTCAGTACCTTATACTCTTATCAGTAGCTTCTGAATAACTCTACAGAACACCGAAGAGACAGACCTAAATCGCAAGCATGTCACCACCCCCTCCGCCCCCTCCCCCCCCGCGTCTCACAGAAGCGAGGGGAGGGGGGGGGGGTTTTAGCAGAGGGGGATTTGAGTGGAACAAGAGAGAGACTGCCTGCCAGCACGAATTTAACCATGTCAACGCTGTACAGTAACAAGACAGAAGGACAATTACATTACAAAGCAAAGAGACACAAAAACACAACATTTCATTTAAACCCCCACCCTCTACCAGGGTAATGGCTAACACAAAATACAAAAACCCCACAGCGTTTTAAGATTGGGGTGGGATGGTGACCATGGTCAGCTACATTTCGGTCATTACTGACAGGATGATGGAAGTGGTCACCTCCTGGACAGGGCACTGCTGGGATAACTTCCCAGTAACACAATTATTATGATATACATACAATCTTAAACCTTTGTGATCAATATCTTCCTCAACCTATCCCTTTTGCTGAATAGCTCTTGCTACTCGGTACCAGGCTTCTGCTGTACAAACCAAATCTTGGTCCGACAGCTTCCCTTTCTTCTCTGTCAGTAACTTACGCCAGCTCTCTGGCTACAATCTGCCGCACAGAGGTACGGTAATTCCACATACTTTAGCAATCTTCCTCACTTCCTTAACCATCTCTTCCCCTTCTCTGTCTTCCACTAGATCACATGCTAACCAACCCTTACTGGGTTTATCTAACTTCTGTCCCATCCTCCCTATATAAGGCGTCCCAGATATAGAGAGAGAAAGGAACAGAACGTCTACCGTGCTCGACTGCTACTTTAAGAGCAAGCTCTTTAAGTACGTCTTCCCAAAACGTAGACTAGTCACTGATTCCGCCTACCCGTGGTAGCCGCGGATTGGAGCGTGGCGAGAAGTGTGTGACCAATCACTTCTCTCAACAGAGAAAGAGAAATAGGAGGGGAAAGTGTAAATAGTACAGTGAGTAAGATAGAAGTAAACACAGGAATCTGTGTGACAGACAATTAAGACAATAACATTTCAGTGTAAATACAGTGCATGCATCACAGTTCAAATAAGTTCAACAGTGTTATCCCTTGCCTTTACTCGTGTGGCCAAAAGCCACCTCCCTCAACCTCGTAGTGTCCCTGTTGCGGACCCACCCGCAAGTCTCACTACCAGCAGCCACAGGAAACAGCAACAGCTTCCAACCCGAATCCTGTATAGCCTAAAGAATTGGAATCTTACCTGTCTCAGCGCTTGAGACTGGAATTTTACCAAGAAGAAGTGTCTGATGAGGCTAGCTAAGCGGTCAAAATGACACTCTGGGGATCCCCAGGAAGCAGTGAGTCTACTGCCCTCCACAGATCCCCCCTACTCTTTTTCCTTACAGCCACAGCCACGTGGCTCCTAAAAGAGTTAAACAGGCAATAGAGGACCCCCAGGAAAACTTCCACAGGTCCACCCCCCTTTTTCCTTACTACCACAGGCATGTGGTACCTAAAAGGGGTTAAACAGGCACTTACACTCCCCGGGTACTAAGTTAAACACATACCAATACAAACACACCCAGGCAACAGATAGTCAACATGCAGGTAAACTAGGTATCATTAACAATACAAAGACTCTGGGCAAGTTATTACCTGACTTTGATGTCCTCTCGGCAGCAGTCACAGACACTGGGGCAGGTCAATCACAGGGGCAGGAACATACCGGCTAGGTGCTGCAGCAATCTCTACCGTGTATTCAGAGGTGATCAGGCTCTTTTCCTTCCCCCAGGATTCAGCCCCCCCAGCGTCTTCTTGGACAGCTGCCCAGACTGGACATAGCCCAGAGCCCCACGTTGAGAGCGCCAATTGTTCTAGATAATTTACTGCAAACCAATTAGTTTGAATGACTATCTGTTCCTGTCCAAATTAAAGATAATAAAGTTGCGTGCACGCAGAAGTAAATTCACACTGAGACACAAGGTTCAGGGTAATGAAAGAACTTCAGAGAAGTTTAATGGCTTCTGACAGAAAATGGGTGCGCAGACCCTTATAAAGGCATTATTACATCATTGAAGAAAATCAAGATATAGACAAATAGACACTATTGATTGGTCCAGGTGTTAAGTGGTTAGTTAGGTACCCTCCTATCAAGAGGTGATGTCATCCTTGACACGGGAGTGGACACAAGATGTAGGCGCCATCTTGTTAGCACGAGGTGTTCACTCGATGGGAGGGGTGCTTTGGCAGCCATCCATTTAGAGTGTAGCTGGCACGGTTAGGTTAGGTTTCAAGGCTTTTAGTAAATACACATTTTATCAAAGCTATTTCTTGCTGACATGCAAATTCTATGTTCTATAGACAAAGCTTCCTTGTAAAACTATGGGGGGCCTCCTAGAGGTATAGCAAGAGGATTTAAAGGGGCCTTACAGATTTATAGAGGCCTAATAATTCTACAACATGCTTATCAGCCTGAACCTTCTGCCGAGCCGCACATTTCACCAAGGAACGCTGTACCTGCTCCCAAGTTCTATGTATACCAGCCAAATGTTCATCCTGAACTGGCATTCCTTGCGAAGAAAATGCGGACGGCCATAAACAACATCAAAAGGTCTGTTACCAGAAGCCCAAGGAAGCAGGTCAGATCAATCATTCTGGTGATAGAAAACAAAACAACGTAGATATTGCTCTAAGGACTGGTTGGTTTGCTCAGCAGCACCATTAGTCTGGGGGTTATAGGCAGAAGAAAAGGACAATAAAATACCCATCTCTGAGCAAAAGGCTCTCCAAACCCAGGACACAAATTGGCTACCTCTGTCAGATACAATGGAATCAGGTACACCATGTAATCTAAACACCTCCCTGGAGAATACTTTAGCCAGCTCCTTAGAGAATGGCAACTTAACCAGGGGTACAAAATGAGCCATCTTAGAGAATCTATCTGTTATCATGAGGACGGTAGTATAGCCATTAGAAGGCGGTATGTCAACAATAAAATCCATTGATATATTGGATCAAGATAAAATAAAAACAATAAAAGGCTGCGCACATAAAATAGAGTCCAATAAAAGGGAGAAAGTCCAATTGGTATATTCTTACAGGTGTCCTTGGTTGGTGGGGTCTTCTATTTTTGTGGTGGTTTCACTCGTTATGAAAAATAAAAAGAGGAAAAAGGGACATCCAATGGTGTAGTATGTAAAATACAGGTATAGACGTACAAATAATAGTATAAAACTCACATTTACCAGAGCTAATGTCCAGCTCTGGAGTAAAGCGCGTACAGCGGTTTAATCCCCGCTTGTGGGATATAAAACAGGTTCCTCTCCGTGAATGGTATCCAATTCTCGGGATAAGACAAACAGCCAATAGTGCTCACTGTATGGCAGATAATAATAAAATAATAAAAGAAATGTACTTACAAAGAAAGAGCAGATCCACTGCTCTTTAATGATGGCTCGGGTGGATTGATCCCCACCTACGGATTTCTTTGGGTACAGGAAACTTCCAGGAATTTTTAGGTTTTTTTAAAAACCATTAAAAATAATTAAAATAACAATAAAAGGGCCAGGGTAAAAAAGAAAGATATGTGTCTATAAAAAAGATAAATTGGCACAAGCAAATGACCAAAAATACTTTAATATATATATAAAAAACACAATATTCAAATATCCATAACGCGTTTCGTCTCAAAGGGACTTTATCAAATGGATTAACATGATTTACCTGGCACATAGAGATTATATAGGAGCATAATTGATTGAATTTTGGCGCCAAAACTTAGTTTGTCCAATCAAAATTAAAAGCATATATATATAACTTTAAAATACAAAAATAACTTCTTCTACACATAATTAGTAGTTATACAACTTGATTAGAATATGTTTAGGTTTAAAACGAAAGTAAAAAAGAATAGTTTAAAACAGTTTGAAAGAGTCATGTGACCGGCTGTACTTCCGGGTTTTGGAAGTTACGCCGCCATGCCGCATGGGAAATGTAGTCAAAAAGCATCAGCCGTTTTAAAAGTTTCACAACCAGACTTTTTAAATTGCCCAGGTTAATAAAATGTGGTGGCAAGTAATAAAGTTAAAAAACGAAGGGGCTACCTATTGCAGAAAACACTTCTAAAGCGGTCACGTGATTTTCGGCAATAATAGTCGAAATGTCTTATGGGAATGATAGTTTGGAAGAGTCATGAGACCGGCGGCACTTCCGGGTTTTTGGAAGTACCGCCGCTATGCCGCATGGGAGATGTAGTCAAAAGCGGCAGCCGTTTTTAAAAGTCTCACAAATGGACTTATTAAGTTGCCCAAGTTTATATAGTGTGGTGGCAAATAATAAAGCTTTAAAACGAAGGGGCTACCTATTATAAAAAACACTTTTAAAGCGGTCACGTGATTTTCGGCAGTAATAGCAGAAATATCTTATGGGAATGATAGTTTCGAATATAGCATGTAAATTAATGATAAAAGACATCAAATTTAAATAGTAGAATAGAAGAAAAACATGACATGACAATCATAATACTTATTCATTAGCTAAAAAGGAGCTGATAAAAATTAAAATTGAATTAAATTAAAAGCATCAATTAGAAAATAGAAAGACACTTCAAATTAAAGGGGCAGATTAGATAAAAAAACAATTTTAAAAGAATGTTGTGTAAAAAACCATAATTAAAAGTACAGACATAAAAATTCATAAAAAATTGTGTAAATCAAAATCTGCATTAAGGCCATGGGGTATAAGAGTCTGAAGTTTATACACCCATTCCATCTCTGTTTTTCCAAGTAACTTTTTTATATCACCTCCTCGCCAAGAGGTAGAACATTTTTTTATACCAATACACTTTAATAAACGAGGATCTTTATTGTGCATAATAAAATGTTTGGATACTGTATGATTTAGGTATCCATTTTTAATATTTCTGCAATGTTTGCTTAGTCTTATTTTTAGGCACCTTGTGGTCATCCCCACATATTGGAGGCCACATGGGCACTCAAGCAGATAGATAACATTTTTTGTATGGCAGCTTATAAAATCATGAATATCATACACTTTTTTGGTTTGATTTGACATAAATTTTGTAATTTTTGATGAAATGACTTAATCCACTTGATTGTTTGCATCTAAAAAAACCTTTTGTCTGAGGGAAAAATGATAAATTTTTTAAAGGAGATTTTTTTGTAAAGTTTGTAGTTAAAATAGATTTAAAATTAGGTGCTCCTCTAAAAACAATGTTTGGATGAGTAGGTATAATAGAAT